TGCAACCGCTGCAAAGGATTGTCCAGGGCCCCGTTTCTCAAAGCTATCGCAGCGCTACGGATGTCGTACCACCTATACTTTAACATAGACTTAGCGCTACGATAGCTTTGTGAAACGGGGCCCAGGATTAAACCAGACAATGGCACCCACACGCCACTTGTTTTTCTTGGGGTGCCATTCTTCCTTTTCATGGCACAACGAGAAACTAAAAACAATTACTCTCGTTACAATTCTTGCCAATAATGTTGGTGTTAGTATCCTAATTTTGTTGAGTATATACGCCGAGAGGGGGGTATTTTGTTGTTTGGCACATGTATCATTGATGTGAAAATATTATACAGGTCGGATAATGAAAGCAAGTAGTTTATTTGCATTAGCTAAAAAAGTGCAACGTCTGGAAATCCGAAGAACACTTTAAATAATGCAGACTAATGTGTTCCACTCATTATGCTATATATCAATAGGGTGGAGAGCTCGTGAGGTGTCCACAGCGGATTGCTGCTCATGGTTTAATGCTGTTTGATGCTTGTCCCTCTGTTCGGACATACGATACTATAGATGGTAGTTTTTGTGAGGTATTCAATGCATGTTTAACAATATATACAAACAAAGGTCATTGGACGTTTTTTGGAATGTTCTTGATAGAATCAGGGTAAAGTTGTATCACTAATGTAACTTCCTGAAACATCGTGAAAGAGCGCCCAGCCCTTTAGACTGCCATGCTGTTCATTTGGGTTTGTAGAGAGTGGAGACGGCAGGTCTTGGGAGGGTGTTGCAGCCGTCGGTGGTGCAGCAGTAGTGGCAGTCGATGCTTGTAACACCACTAGTTTGAGGCTGCATGCATCTCCCCTCGTCGGACGTCTGATGGTACCATTGTCTGGAGCAGGCACTGTGGCTCACACACCTGAAATAACGGATGATAAAGTATTGTCTGCATGACAGGGTATCGTCGATTCAAAATTCAAATAATTTTGTTTCTTTTCTTCTCTGAACATTATTTTAACGACATCAGTTAGGCTTGATGACGTTGAGACGCCGGAAGAGCTGCAGATCATTGACTTACTGAGGGCAAATCTGGGTTTTAACTCACTAGCTCTGATTTCAGGACGCAATTTTGTTAAGCGTATTGTGGCGAATTTGAATTTGTGAGTTCAAGATTATTGTATTGGAAAAAACAACGTGTGTTTGGGTGTGTGACCCGTGCGCGCGTGTGCGTGCTTACGTACGTGTTTGTAACAGTACATTTTAGACGTGACTTAAGCAAGTTTGTATCTATTTCATTGACATACCATAAGGCAGTTCAACATGTCACATCACTCAGATGACATCATGCTGACACCTTCCCGTGAAGATCCGGGTTAGAATTGATCTTCAGTAACCGATGCTTGTCGTAAGAGGCGACTAACGGGATCGAGTGGTCGGACTCGTTGACGTGGTTGACACATGTCATCATATATCAATTGCGTAGATCGATGCTCGTGCTGTTGATCACTGGATTGTCTGGTCCAGACACGATAATTTACAGACCGCGGCCATATAGCTGGAATATTGCCGAGTGCGGCGTAAAACTGAACTCACTCACCAATAACTGACGTGGCAGGTAAGTAGCGTGACAAGGAAGCTTGTTTACAAAACAGTTACAAACCAAGAAGTTTTCAATCTTCAACGGAAACTGATTAAGTGTTACCTTTTATACGTGGTCTGAGCGCCATACGCGTCGTGCAGCACATCTATCATACAAAACTGCCCCTCGGGACACAGTTGTAGCTTAGGGATAAACAGATCCCTTGGTCCGCACGGCGTCTTCGAGGTCAAGTCACCGCAGATTTGGCACTTCAGGTCTTGTCAAAATAAAATATATCGGTCACAACATATATATCTTCATACTCATTACACCGAGGAATCCTTAATTTTGTAATCTATTTCATACGTTTTGACCTAAAATATTGATTTTCTTTATTTCTTATCACGATCTTAAAATTCCCCCAACAAAAGATATTGGTGAGTGAGTTTAGTTCTACGCCGCTTTTTACAATATTCAGCAATATCAAGGCGGGTGGCACCAGAAATTGGCTTCACGCATTGTACCCATGTTTGGAATCGAACCTGGTCTTCGTCGTAACGAGCGGACGCTTTAACTACTAGGCTGCCCCACCGGCCCAAAAGGTATTGAGTGCTGCGCCAACAGTATGCCCTTGAAAATCGAATTTAGACAAACAATTACTAACAGTATCGAAATTTTAACATGCTGCAAGGTTTATAAAACTTAGTTTGAAACACAATTGTTACACGGTGTATTTAATACATCACCATCGAACACCAATGTCTTGTGTCTTTCAATTGAGCTTATTTTAGTTCTGAATGCATACTCTCTGTTTCACGATACTGTATGTGAAATATTTTATTTTAGGCGGGTGTGTATTTTCTGAAACAACATTTAATTCTTTATCTTTTTCTTCTGTGCAACTAAAGTACGAGTGAATTGGAACTCAAAATAAAGAACAGAAAATACATACTGTCGACTTATTGTTCTGGTGTGGCTCAAGTTATATTCCTAAGTTCTGGCCCCGATTTCTCGAAACAAACTTAAGTCTGAGTTTTGACTTAAGTTCGAATTTTTACTCAAATTTGAGAAAACACATTTCCCAGAATGAACTGAAATCGATATTAAACTCAAACATAGTAGACAATTTGAGTTTGGTGAATAGAATACTTAAGTTGTTTGGGCTTTTTTATTAAAAAATGCAGCTGAGTTAAAATTCAGTTGTTTCAAATTTTCAAACTCAGTTTGAAATTTGAGTAAAAACTTAAGTTTGTTTTGAGAAATCGGGGCCTGAACTTTTGTTCACTTTATTTAACTAATGTTGGAGGAATTGCCATAGCGACGCAGGTTATATGTGCTCATCGCTTTTGTGCAACCATGGACCAGTGAGTGAGTGAGTTCAGTTTTACGCCGCACTAAGCAATATTCCAGCTATATGGCGGCGGTCTGTAAATAATCGAGTCTGGACCAAACAATCCAGTGATCAGCAGCACGAGCATCTATCTACACAACTGGGATACGATGACAAGTGTCAACCAAGTCAGCGACGCTGACCAACCGATCCCGTTAGTCGCCTCTTACGACAAGCATGGTTACTGAAGATCAATTCTAACTCGGATCTTCTCGGGTCCATGGGACAGACAGAGTGACAACAAACAGAATAAACAGCTAATCTAGGTTTCGAATCCACAGTGGTTAATGTCTGGTACACCCAGGAATACTGTTTGCGTAAACCCTTGTTTGGAATGAAACGATTCCTTAAATCTAAACTTACCTCCCTTCGAAACCTTTGTAGGTCTTGGTTTTATAGAAGTCGTTGAAGCGGAAGTCGACGCTGACGTTAGGGGAGTAGTAACGGTTGTTGATGGTGTTACTGCGGAGGACGTTGACGTTAGTGGGGGTACTGTCGTCGCCGTGCTGTCTGGGTGGGGCTCTGGAGATGCTGTATAAATGTAGCTGTGATGGTGAGTGAACCTAACGTCAACATCGACACACTGTAGACAGTAGAATGAGTTCGACACCGCTTTGCACGTTATTTCAGGTACATCACCACGCGTCAGGTTGATGAAGGAAGTGATGCAGGGTCTCAGAACCTGGATGTCAGTGAACTAAAGACAACTGGAATCGGTAACCGAAACAGGAGAGTGAGTGAGTGAGTTCAATTTCACGCCGCACTCAGCAATATTCCAGCTATATTGCGGGGGACTGTAAATAATCGGGTCTGGACCAGACAATCCTGTGATCAACAGCATGGGCACCCATCTACGCAATTGGGATGACATGTGTCAATCGAGTCAGCGAGCCTGACCGTCCGATCCCGTTAGTCGCCTCTTACGACAAGCATGGGTTACTGAAGATCAATTCTAACCCGGATCTTCACAGGTTCAAAACAGAAGATGTTCGATGAGGAACTATGATAAACTGGTGATAGCGTGTGTCATATTAACATGGATATTGAACGTCAAGGTCACCACAGTACACTAACATTTATGCCAGGTGTTTTTTCCCAGATCAACCCTCGTATTTCATTGTCTGGATGTGTCGGAACATGACATGCATGACAAGACCAGGCCAAATTACAACGAATATGGATATCAATGCCCGTCAGAAATTGTCTGTGTTCAAAGTGAAAAAACACATCAGTGTCACGGTCAGACAAGTCATCGTCTTCACACGCTTTGTCTGTTCGCTACAAATCCCAGCTCGCCCTACCGCTCCCACACCCCTAATCCAGATATTACATATCTATCCCTTACAGTGAGTGAGTGAGTGAGTATGCTTTTAAGCCGCTTTTAGCAATATTCCAGCAATATCACGGATGGAGACACCAGAAATGAGCTTCACATTGTACCCATGTGGGGAATCGAACCCGGGTCTTCAGCGTGATGAGCGGACGCTTTAACCATTAGGCTACCCCACCGCACCCTGTCCCTTACAAGCCTGCGTACATACATTAAGATACTTGTAAGATACTAACATCCTTTGCCTCGTTGGAGTAATAAACACTCGTTCCACAATTGAATTATTCTTCTTGATGCATATCACATTTCGTGAGGGGACCGCCTCCGTGGTGTAGTGGTTAGAGCGTCCGCCCGGAGAGCGGAAGGTCGCGGGTTCGATCCCCGACCGAGTCATACCAAAAGACGTTAAAATATGGTACTTGTTGGTCCCTGCCTGGCGCTCGGCATTAATGGGTACATCAAGGACTGGTCGGCTCGGAGTCAGTATAATGTGTCTGAGTGGGGTATTCATGCTTCACTGCGGCATGTTATCTCAGTGAGCTAGCACTATAAAACCAGCTTAAGTCTGGGCTAGTACAAGCAGCCGCACATACACATACACACGCATGCACGTCGTCATATGAGCGAAATATTCTCAAGCACGACGTTAAACCCAATTTCACCTCACCTCACCTCACCTCACCTCACATTTCGTGAGGAAAATGATAACAACAGTGTGAGATGGACACTATTTATTTCTAAACATCATACAAGTGTATTCTAAGGATGTACATCTGGATGAGGGGTCGACTTACTTTTAGGGTCATACAATGTCCCTGCCGGCGGTATGGCGTCTTTGTTACAGCCATCACCTTGACAACAAAAGCTGCATTTCCCGACGGGTAGGCCCGAGAAACCGGAAGGAGATCCGTCCAACAGAAAACAGTCGGCCAGTCCAGCTGTTGACAGCCACCACTCGTTCTTGCACACTTGTTCCGTTACGCATCTAAAACGCAAAACAATATAACTTCCGGGTAATTGTGATAGGATCCGGCACGGAGTATTATAATCTGTCCATCGCTTTTAACGGGACATGTACGCTCTATGTTAATTTATATTCCCGATCCCAATATATCCACCGGTCTTCACACGTAAGGGACCTTGGGATAGGGGATTATTCTTACTCTTCACCTTACTGTAAAGTAGATATGTCTTCTGTATTTATGCGTTGGTCCCATTCGGGTAGAATACATAAGTTCAAGCTTATTCACTCCGATAATCTTTCACTTTCATCGCCCAAATCACAAGCATTAGTCCGAAATATTTTTCATTCCAGAAACAGTATATTTTCGAAGCCGGGCGTGCTACAAAATTAACACGAAAGTGCAGTTGGAATGTTGCAAATGTAGTGCCCTAAAATCAGCGATTCGAGTGCAGAACGTAAGTAGTGTACTTAACACGTTAGTAGGGCCTATTTAACAGAAAGTGTTCTGCTTATCAACACAGCTTGTCAGATGCAGCGGAGGATGAAAGCCCGAAGTAATGGCCGCCTTCCCATCTTCTCAGTGTTACAAGCACGGCTATGGCTGACAAACAGTGTGCCAAATACACACTGGCCCGCTAGCCCGTGGCTAGTAATAACCCAGTCGGGCCAGTAAATCTCCACAGCCACTGGCTAGTGAATTTATACGGGTCATTTTATAAATATATCGCTCTCTCCGATTCGTTAAGGTATAACACACTTTTAAGTCATGCAAGATTATGGCCTGCTAAAAATGTTCATCATATAAGCAGCTTAATGATGAAACCCGTTTCTTGACTACATTCAAATTTCGGGCTAGTGAATTATTTTGTGGGGTAGTAACATTCAGGCATAGCTAGCCCGACTGGCTAACAAAATGTGGAAACTATTTTGCACACAGCTGACAAACATGGACGGATAATCAGGGTTGAACCAACGATAAGACACTTCGCCTTAAGGACGCGAATCTGAACAGCGAAATGCGATGCCGCAGGTGACTAAAGCCTCGTCTCAGCGATCATAGCACAACGATGAACGTAAAATTTTGATAAAACGTTTGCGATAGATCACCTTAATGCTGAGATCGCTTTGTAGCACGGGCCCAGGCTGCTGTCACTCTCTTTCATGTAAGCTGCTTTACAATTCGTGTACATCTGTTAGATTCATCAGTGCTTATTAGAAAGGTCACATGACGTGACGTCATATGGAGATGCTATCATATCTTTACGTACAAATGAATCGTATCGGAGTAAAATGAGTGGATGAGATTACACGCCTTTGAACTGCATAAACCTAATGCGGTATGAAATCAGGAAGCAATGTAGTGTTCAGACGTGTAGTGTTTTACAGAAATTGGAACCCAGGCTCCTGGCGTACCTAAGGGAGGCAACCCTGCGCAGCATATTGGCGACCTGGGCACCCTGACCGGTGTAAGAGCTGGTTAATAGGGGTGGGTATTGCAGAGAATTTTCATATTGCGATATATTGCGATTCGAAAGCATATATTGCGATACGTGTTGCAATATATTGCAAGAATATTTTTTTCACCAAAACTTACTTATAATCGAGTTAATGCTTGATTTATAAAGCAAAAACACAACAAAATCACTATGCTTGATTAAGCTTTAATAAAAACTTTTAATCATGTTAAAATGAAGGAAACAAGGAAAAGAACAATTTAACATCAACACAGTGGTTACTAGTTTGAACTAGTTTCTCCACTCTCGAAAATGCCCCGAGATTTTAGACAGCAACTTGACCTGGTCAGGACATATCAGGGATCACTGGTCAATAATGAGTAAATATATATATAACATTCAGATCAAACACTTTGCGAAACACTTGAACAAAAATTAAGAACACAACTTGATTTTCGGTGTGAAAAAACGGAAATATCCGAAGATTTCCGAGTGTTACGAAGTTTTCCGAATGCATGTCGTAAAACCGGTTTTCGATCCGGGTATCGCAATACGTATCGATTTCGTGTCTGAACCGGTAAATACCGGTAAACCGGTTATATTGCGCAGCCCTACTGGTTAATGTGTACACATAGCGCGGTGGACTGAACATACCCTCTCGTGAAGTTCCTGGCTCCTGTTGCGCTCTGACTGATGGTGGACATGCAGTAGGGCTGGTCAGTTGGACAGTTCACAAGGCTCATGTCGAAACAAGAAAGATCTTTGCATTTGTAGCACTGAACAGCTGGAAAACACCAAGAACACAATAATCAGATGGATATCAGGCATGCGCAGAACATGTTTCTGGAAAAAACTGATGTTCTGGAAATGGAGTGAGTGAGTTTAGTTTTACGCCGCTTTTAGCTATTTCACGACGGGGACACCAGAAATCTGGAAATGGAACTAATGGACTTCAGATACAGATTACCTCAACTATCCCCATACCAATTCTGTTTGAAAACTGTGCCTTCTTAGACATGTATTATCAGATATTTGTCAATTTACTGAGTGGTTTAGGGGCGCTGGGGTAGCCTAGTGGTTCAAGCGTTCGCTCGTCACGCCGAAGACCCGGGTTCGAATCCCCAAATGGGCACAATGTGTGAAGCCCATTTCTGGTGTCCCCGGTCGTGATATTGCTGGAATATTGCTAAAAGCGGCGTAAAACCATACTCACTCACTCACTAACAGAGTGGTTTAGTTAACCGTTAGCGTGATGAGCATCGGGTCATAGGTCATAGGTCATAGGTTGGGTCGGGTCAGTGTGGGTTGGACTGGATGGCGTGGGGTGTTTGGTGTGTTTGGGAAGTTTCTCGGGTTTAAGCAGCCCTACTTCTGGATATGTGTTTACAGATATTTGCCTAATTGCAAACCACCTTCAGGTTGTGTACATGCATTTACATTCCGCGTGACGATATAAGGGAGCGGTGAGGTAGCCTAGTGGTTAAAGCGTTCGCTCGTCACGCCGAATACCCGGGTTCGATTCCCTACATGGGTACACTGTGTGAAGCCTATTTCAGGTGTCAACCGCCGTGATGTTGCTGGAATATTGCGAAAAGTGGCGTAAAACTAAACTCACCCACTCACTCAAATAGTGCGATCAAATTACTGATGATTAGACTAGGCAGTTTAGAGCTTACAATCATGGTGATAATTAGACGTGATTCCCTAGGCATGCCACTGACGGTAGTCATGGAAATATACATCTTGTGAGATACCAAATGCCTCTAAATGTCAAGGTAACATAAAACGTAGGCACGTTTTGGGTAAACAACAAAGATTGTTCATGTCTTTCTGATATGACAAAACAACTTCGGGAACACACGATGATAACTTGTTAGATAAAAGCAAACATTATATGAATCAAAGCAAAACAAAACATGAACCATTAGTTGGCAACTTAATAACTTATAGTAAACTATTGGCATTTTTAGTTACAGATAAAAGAACAGGGCCCTTATTCTCGAAACGTTCCTAGCCCTAAGAATTCTTAACTTTGATCGTAGCCAATGTGTTGAGAATGGGCTTAAGAAGTTCGTAGGGCTACGAACGTTTCGAGAATAGCTAGCCAGGCTGACAATGTTTTACTTCAGACACTTCGAAGTTATCAGTTAATTATAAAGCAAAAAACCGATATGATTGCAATCTGAATATAATTGTAAATGAAAAGATGTGTGTGCGTGCGTGTGAGCTTGCGTACGTGTGTGTATGTGTGTTGTCTACCTACGTTTCACAGTGGTAGTTGGGAGGGTTGTGGTCGTGGTTGTTGTCGTTGATGTAGTTGTTGTAGTTGAAGCGGTTGACGCAGTAGTTGGTGTAGTCGGACTTGCAGTGGTAGGTAATTTCGGAGCAACTTTAATTGTTGGCTTTGCTGTTGTCGGTGGATTTGTTGGTTTTGCTGTTGTCGGTGGATTCGTTGGTTTTCCTGTTGTCGGTGGATTCGTTGGTTTTGCTGTTGTCGGTGGATTCGTTGGTTTTGCTGTTGTCGGTCTCAGTGACGGTATCGGTGATCGCGGGCCTTTGTTGAACCTACGGTTGGTTTGGGCGTGGTTGGAGCAGCGGTCTGCGTTTGTGGATTTGGCGCTGAAACGGACATGTGTCACAAGACTTATTTACAGATATACATTACATGTGATCAGAGAAAGAAGCTCTCACATCGCCAGGTCAGCTTCGATTCACCTGATGAACATTTGAAAAATCCGCCGATATGTTAACTCTGGAACCACAAAGTTATTTGTCCACAACCATGTTCTGTCTAGGATAGACTACTGTAACGCTCTGCTACACGGTGGATGTGTAATCACCCATCTACAGCGTGTGCAGAACACTGCAGCCCGTGCCATTACAAGAGCTAACCCCACAGAACACTGCAGCCCGTATCATTACAAGAGCTAACCCCACAGAACACTGCAGCCCGTATCATTACAAGAGCTAACCCCACAGAACACTGCAGCAGCTAACCCCACACTGCAGCCCGTATCATTAGAACTAACCCACAGAACATTACAAGAGCTAACCCCACAGAACACTGCAGCCCGTATCATTACAAGAACTAACCCCACAGAACACTGCAGCCCGTATCATTACAAGAGCTAACCCCACAGAACACTGCAGCCCGTATCATTACAAGAGCTAACCCCACAGAACACTGCAGCCCGTATCATTACAAGAACTAACCCCACAGAACACTGCAGCCTGTATCATTACAAGAGCTAACCTTAACAGAACACTGCAGCCCGTATCATTATAACCCCATTACAAGAGCTAACCCCACAGAACACAGAACACTGCAGCCCGTGCCATTACAAGAGCTAACCCCACAGAACACTGCAGCCCGTGCCATTAACAGAACACAGAACACTGCAGCCTGTATCATTACAAGAGCTAACCCCACAGAACACTGCAGCCCGTCATTACAAGAGCTAACCCCACAGAACACTGCAGCCCGTATCATTACAAGAACTAACCCCACAGAACACTGCAGCCCGTATCATTACAAGAGCTAACCCCACAGAACACTGCAGCCCACATTACAAGAGCTAACCCCACAGAACACTGCAGCCTGTATCATTACAAGAGCTAACCCCACAGAACACTGCAGCCCGTGCCATTACTGTACCATTACAAGAGCTAACCCCACAGAACACTGCAGCCCGTGCCATTACAAGAGCTAACCCACAGAACACTGCAGCCTGTATCATTACAAGAGCTAACCCTACAGAACACTGCCATTACAAGAACTAACCCAACAGAACACTGCAGCCTGTCATTACAAGAGCTAACCCAACAGAACACTGCAGCCCGTATCATTACAAGAGCTAACCCCACAGAACACTGCAGCCTGTAGCCCGTCATTACAGAACAAGCATTACAAGAACTAACCCACAGAACACTGAACACTGCAGCCCGTGCCATTACAAGAGCTAACCCCACAGAACACTGCAGCCCGTACCATTACAAGAGCTAACCCCACAGAACACTGCAGCCCGTATCATTACAAGAGCTAACCCCACAGAACACTGCAGCCCGTATCATTACAAGAGCTAACCCCACAGAACACTGCAGCCCGTATCATTACAAGAACTAACCCAACAGAACACCTCACACCAGTACTACAGAGACTCCATTGGTTGCCAGTCAGACAACGGATAAAGTTCAAGCTGCTCAACATCACCTTCAACGCCATTCACTATCTTCAGTACCAACAGTATCTTCAATCTCTATTCTACAAGCCAATTCGCAACCTAAGCTCTACCCACAAAATGTACTTGACTCTACCAGACACCAAAACAAAATTGGATGAAAGATGTCTCTGTCACTTCTCCCATTCTGTGGAACTTACCTCTTCAGGGAAGCCTATCTCCTATAGACCTTTCACAGCGCCGCTGAGCAACGAACTTAGTTGAAATCCAGGCGCTATATAACTGTATTATTATTATTATTATTATTATTATAACACCGGGAAAAGATAGACTTCAGTTCAGTAGTTCACTAGGTGTCTCTGGTTTCAACAAGGCGGTACAGGTCCAAGACCTGGAAGTCAGGGGCTTTCCTTCAACATTAAGCTCACTGTGATATAACTGGAACACTGTATAAAGCTGTCATGAATCAAACTCACTCATACAACATTACAACAGCCCACTTCCGGTCCCCTTACGTCGTACTTCCGGTATCTATACACCTAATCGATTTCATTATATCCTACATTTTGTTTCGTTGCAACAACTTCCGGATTTGCTGTAACCACTTCCGGTCTAGTTATACCCTGCTTCCGGTCTAGTATACTTTCGGTTTCGTACTTATTTGGTAGAGTCTCATAATGTCCACTTATCCGACTTCCTACTCGTCATATTTTATTTATTTCTCTGTATACTCCGCTCCAACTGCCAGAATAGTGGCCAGGAATAGCTTCGAGACTGCTGATAAGGCACTGTTGAGTGTAGAATTCATATTGGTAGCCAAGCCTCTCATTTTCCATCACTGTTGAACAAAATGTAAATCATCAATTCCTTACGAACGTAAAATTAAGGGAATGTAAACCAGACGACTGAGCTCCGCCAAGATCAACCACCTGGTATCCACCCAGTTACTGGCCCTGATTGCTTCGTGTGCAACGAATGGAAGTGTATTGAATTCTTTGCGATGTCATTGACTCAGGACATAAAGAATGCTTCACCTCTATCACAGCGTTTAACTTAATTTGGGACCCATACCATACAACAGCCATGCCCGTTCACTGCCATGTTGACGTGAGTCGGCGCCATCCTGATAGACATCACTTCAGGTTTGCAAAGAAACTATTCTTATTTTTTTAAAATGATAACTTAAAACTCACGATCGTAGCATGCGGAGGACATTCCCATCTGATGCATCAGTGACAAGCATGATGTCCAGTGCAATTCCCTATAGGCAGTCGTACTATATGTTCCCGAACGTTTTCAGGTGAACAATTGACTAGACTTTGCATGTGTTTACAACCCCCTCGAATATTCAAACCAAACCAAAAGCCTTTGTGGTTTGAGGAAACGTTGCACTGTCCCCCAGAATAACAAGCGCCTGATCCAAAAAAACATCTGCTATACCAAAGAAGCTAAGAACCACCCGATTCTTTCCAAAATGAGTGGATCACTAAGTCAAGACAAACCCAAGTCCAAGCATCGGGTGATTCGTAGCGTCTTTTGAGTGGAAGTATCTCAGTGTGCATTGTTCTTACCTTGCGTTGGCATTGTTGTTGTTGCGGGTTTGACGTTGTTCTGCTGCTGGGCACAGGGACAACTGGGAACAACTTGAGCTGGGCTCATCTGGTTTCCGCTGTTGCCAAACAATATCCCTCCAATGTGAAGATTTATAGATACGTCCAGTCCGGAACTGCCCACGGCTGTTATCTGATTACCACCCTGACCGCTTGGACTGTGATTTGCGTAGCATGGCTGACCAGCGTGGCAGTGACAAGATGGCACCACGTTGATTGGTTGTTGTGGAGGTATGTTGTTGGCTGGTGGGGCCTGCGTCTGAGGTGGGTTGGTGGCTGGTGGGGCCTGTGTCTGAGGTGGGTTGGTTGCTGGTGGGGCCTGTGTCTGAGGTGGGTTAGTGGCTGGGGGTGGCGTGGCTGGAGGTCGTGTGGCTGGGGGTGGCGTGGCTGGTGGTCGTGTGGCTGGGGCTTGGGTCATTGGAGGTTGGGTTTTTACTTGTGGTTGGGGTGTCTGCGGTGGTTTTGGCTTCACAGTGGGGCAACCCCCTGACTTGCCACCCGATCCCTTGCTATCCGATGACTTGCCACCCGATGTCTTGCAATCCTTTGACTTACTGCTACCCCCTGACTTGCCACCTGTTGACTTGCTACCCGGTCCCGATGACTTGCCACCTGTTGACTTGCTACCCGGTCCCGATGACTTGCCACCTGTTGACTTGCTACCCGGTCCCGATGACTTGCCACCTGTTGACTTGCTACCCGGTCCCGATGACTTGCCACCTGTTGACTTGCTACCCGGTCCCGATGACTTGCCACCTGTTGACTTGCTACCCGGTCCCGATGACTTGCCACCTGTTGACTTGCTACCCGGTCCCGATGACTTGCCACCTGTTGACTTGCTACCCGGTCCCGATGACTTGCCACCTGTTGACTTGCTACCCGGTCCCGATGACTTGCCACCTGCTGACTTGCCACCCGGTCCTGCTGACTTGGCGCCCCCGGATTTGCTATCTTCGTCATTCATGTCTTTAGTTTCATCGCCCGAGTCTGGCCCTGAAAATGTACACATATATATGGCTTTGCAAATACAGGTACGATCTGCACGTCAACGCTCTTTGTCCCAGGTAGAAATGGTACTTCAAATATGTTTCTTTCTTTCTGTAATCAGTAATCAGACAATGTCGAGCAGAGACGGTGTAATTACCTCGACTATTGCATGTCGGCGTATAGCTGTCGGTGTTGTTGGTATTGTTAAACGAAACAAACATTATAATATAATATCAAAATATTCAACTTGCATTGTTATGAGGCAGAGTTATATATTGTGCAACAGAGTTTCAACTGCTGTGCATTGTACCGGTAGATTCAGGAGGGGGAAAAACATTTTTAAGGGGGGTCACCATGGGATGTGGGGGTTCAATTTTTTACGGGTGGGGGGTGGGTCATCTCTTTTGCACATAAAAATATTTCAAAATGATGCTTAACAAATATGGGAATATGGGCCATGCAGGGGGGTCACTTAGTTTGTACATACTTTTTAGGGGGGTCAGTCACATTGTACATGCTTCTCAATATCAATCATCACCACCCCTAGCCATAAATTATGAACGGTCCCTTATTCCAGAAACATCACCCTGACAGAGGTATATAAGCAGTCATTCCCAATGAAAGGGGACAATTGCAGTCGTTGAGTTTGCAAGATGCTATTCATGAAACCAAAAGCACTTTTAGATCTTTAAATACATTAATAATAACATGTAAAGTATAGGAAACACGAAAAGCAAGATAACTAACAAGTCATTTAAACAAATGCCTGGTATGGATTGACATACATGGGTAGGGGGTACGCATTTTTCGGTGTCAGTGAGCGGCGTACCCGTCAATTGAAGCTGCCTCTAAGATGACCACCGCTACTACAAGTCGAATGTAGTTATGTTTTGAAAGCAACCAGAAATTGTTTATAAAAATAACCATCAAATACGCATGTACAAACATACATAAAAACGTTTAGCAATAAACAGCTGTTGACAGCACGCGTGCATACGTTATGTCAGATTGTATTACCCATAACTAGAAACTGTTACAATACCAAAAAAATGTGTGATTTGGGGCATGAAATGATATAGTTTAGATCACAAGCAGGTTATGTCTACGAGACTTACAGGTTCGTTTTAAAGACCGTTTTTAAGAACGTAATCATACGTAAGGGTGATGATATTGTAACGTTATGGGACCATTGGTTAGGCCGTCCGTATTTTTTTCTGTGTTTCTCATCTCCCGACCGACCCATATTTTCCTTCCGACAGAACAAAAAAGTATTTTTTTATGTTATAAAATGTCGCCGACAGCAGTAATTTCAGCCCGATCAAACGAAAAATGTGTCCTAAAAGTCAATTTAATAATTAAAAAAATAATTGAAACGTCTCTCAAGCATCTAAATCGGCGATCTTTTAGAATTTATCTTCCCTTCAGTAATCCGCTAGGAGCGTTGATCCGGGCGGTCCAACCTTAAACTGACAGCGCATGTCTTATGCGCGATGGGAGCTGTGCGTCTTACTAAATAAACACTTAGAGACAGTTAACCAGTACAGCCTTCACCATTACTGTTAACGTTCACGCTGGTGCATATGGACAGAATCTTTTCCCTTGACCGATGATATATCAAGTACGGAAGCGTTGAAGGGACCAGATGAGATATAATTTATCTTGAGCGCACGAGTTAGTATTTTGAGAACTATTTGTGTAATATGATACACCGGGGATAATCATGAATGCGTATATTGCAATAATGAATCGCGAAATGGCCATTCGAAGCGAGGCGCTGGAATCAGCTGATCGTTTTCAGGTCATGTTTTGTCGTTTTATTGACGTTTTGCAATTGGTAATTTAGTCTGGCATTAGATGTCTAAATATCACACTTTTAAGCCTGCGGTGTATTTTCATTGCATATGTATTCAAATCTATATCGTATTACGCCGGGAGCAGATGCGGTGCGCGAAATGTATTGTTATGCAACGTGTGAATTTCGTCCTGAATTTTATCTGATTTTTTGTATGATGTTGCTTGTGTACTTTAATATTACATTACACATGCATGACTTTATTTAGTCATTGTACATAAGCATTTTCTGTTAAATTCGTAAAAATTTAAATAAATGCAAATTACACTTATCTACATGGAATGATTCTGGGGTTAAATTTATGTCATCAAAAACATATTTGATTTTAAACACATTTTCTATGTTAATTCCTAACAAACAGACATAACGTTAATGGTTTCTTTGAGAACTATTGCATGATAATCAGGCTATAAAGCTATAGCTAGATGTTATATGATCTGTCATATGAAATATTTTATCAACATAATGTAATAGAGGTACTCCTATGTTGTTACCTCGTGGTATTTTAGGTAGGCCTAATGTTAAAGTTTTTCAATGTGTCAAAATAATCAAGTTTGGGTTAAGGTTACTGACGCAAGCTGACAATGTGATTTTGAAGCACTCCTATAATTTTCAATATCGAAAAGCTGAAAATGGCAAGTCTTGTTGGGCATTAAACGTTAAATCATTATTATTCAGTTATGGTTTTGGTGAAGTTTGGCTACAACAAGGTGTAGGAAATAGTGTTGTATTTATCTCTCAGTTTAAGGAAAGGTGTGTTGATATTAAGCAGCAATGCTGGAGTGCAGATTTAGAGGGTTTCGCGAAGTTGGATTTCCACAGAGCTCTTAATAATCAGTTTAGTTACGTAAATATACTCGAAACTGTAACAGTTAAAGTTTAAATTACAAATTTCATCCGCTTTTGTTGTTCAAATATTGAGCTATCAATTGAATTGGGCAGGTGGTGGAATGTTCCAAGATCAGAAAGATTATGCCCATTCTGTATTGTCCCAAATATTGAATCCGATTACCGTTTTTGTTTATAGTGCCCATTTTATCATAATTTAAGATATACACTTCTTCCAAAATACTACTGGGAATATCCAACTTCGGACAAGATGCCAGCATTATTTCTCTCAAAGGTGTAAATTTCTTTTTTTAGCAACCAAGAAAAGACAAATGGTCTTTAAAGATGTCCCCCTTAGATAAACATTTCTAATGCATTTTTATTTTGTAAAATTTGTTATTCATGTATAGATATATTTATTATAATTGCGAGCCATCACTTCAAGCTCTCTGTATACAACAAATATATCCACCACAATATCTGAATCATGGGCCTGTGGCCCCCTTACGAAATAAACACATATCATATCATATCAACATAATGTTACCAAAACAAGAGGATTCATATGTCATGTCATACACATCCTCTTGACTGGTCAGAACTATCTGTTGTTTGTTGAGACAAATCTCTGAAAATGGCTACTTATGTTTAGAGGTTAAATGGTATGAAACTTTTGTAAGCAATGGATCAATAAATTAGCATATATAATGGCTCACAGCACTGACTGATGGGCACACTTTATAAGGGCTAAATCTGTTATGTCAAACTATGATGACTGGTATTTATGCTGCAACCGACTAATTGGATAATAGGTGTATGGTACATTAAGTATGCGTCAGAAACATAGTGTCAGAATTTAAAAACAAAATGAAATGTGTGAGGAACTGCTGATCAAAACGTACTATTCATATTTAAAATTAAATGTTACATTCTACACGGAATTCTTTCAGTTGTCAGGGATGTGTAATAATTACAAATTTGCGATAAAGGCCTTCCAGGTGATACAGGTCAGTTGGTGGGTGGTGTATCTCCGATTCGTTTTACATTGAGGTCGGTGGTAGTATGAGAACTATTTGTTAAATTTGAATGCAGCAATAATTGAAGAATTGCAGTTGGAAATAACATAAGGGCTGATATATAAAGTCAGTTTTCATGATTTCATAGATGCTGCGACACCCAAGTCGAACACTGTCTCGTGTTCTGTCGAAGGAAATGCCGTGACAATATACCGATTTTTCATAGCTTTTTCCCCGTTATCTTCTATCGTGTCAATTCGCATTGCGCTTGGAAAATTAAACAAACTGTGGGCTTGCAACCAGTGTGCTGCCAGGGTACGACAGCCTTTGACCCGTGGCCAAAAAAACCTTCAAAAAGCGATAAATCTCTCCAAAAATAAACAAAGTGGCAGTTTTGAAGAACTCACTTTGTTTTTGTGTTCTAATCCAATGTGACAGGTTTATTAAAATTGTGTAGCATAACCTATTTAATTAAGAGTCAATACATGCATTATCTCAGGATTTCATATAGTCTCCTTATATCTAATGATATATGAACTGTCTAAAACTGAGAAAAATGGATTCACACAATAAGAAAAGCCTCTTTTAATGGTCTGGGTACTGTGGTAGGATTATTTTCTGTCACCAGCTTGAAAAGAAAATGGCAAACTGCTTTTTTTTCTTTCTCTTTTCTTTTCTTTCTCTTTTTTTTTTTCATTTTTCTTTTTCGCCCGCAGTTTGGAGATGATAAACATAAAAAAAAAATTGGATGGCCTAATATTGTGAATATTGGTTCAGTACTTGTCGAGTGAGGACGACGCGTGACGATCCGGGTTATTATCTACATACCACTGCCATATAGCTGTAATTTTGCTGAGAAACAGAAGCCCAGCTAACACACAACGTTGTCACAACGTTAGTATTACGTCATTTTATAACGTTATGTCAGAACGTAATTGCAACGTTGCACATTTACGTTGAGGAAACTTTATGCTTTGAGCTCCTTACAACGTTTCACGTTTCACTTTGAGATTCTTTCTTCACTATTCAACTACAGCTTCAGAAAACACACGACTAAAACAACATGGAAGCTGACGAATAAAGATTGAAGTAAAATTCTGCTTTGTTTCTATGTACTGTTCACTACTGGGAACACTATTCAACTATTAACGTTAAATAGAACGTAAGGACAACGTAAAACGTAGCATTAAATAACTTTAACCTTGTGGAGACGTAAACATGACGTACAACAACGTCAGGCTACAACGTTGTAATAACGTAAATTGGAGTCCCCAGAATAACGTTTTAACAGCGAAAGGATAACGTTGTGACAACGTAAATGGTAGTCCACAGAATAACGTTGTTACAACGTAAATGGTAGTCCACAGAATAACGTTGTGACAACGTAAATGGTAGTCCACAGAATAACGTTGTTACAACGTAAATGGTAGTCCACAGAATAACGTTGTGACAACGTAAATGGTAGTCCACAGAATAACGTTGTTACAACGTAAATGGTAGTCCACAGAATAACGTTGTTACAACGTAAATGGTAGTCCACAGAATAACGTTGTGACAACGTAAATGGTAGTCCACAGAATAACGTTGTTACAACGTAAATGGTAGTCCACAGAATAACGTTGTGACAACGTAAATGGTAGTCCACAGAATAACGTTGTTACAACGTAAATGGTAGTCCCCAGAATAACGTTGTTACAACGAAAGCATAACGTTGTGACAACGTGAAATTGTTAGCTGGGAAACGTAAACAAACAAACGAGTGATGGCAATGTTGTCTCTGAAACAAAAGGATGAGCGAGTGATGATAGCACAATGACACATTAAAGATCTTGCAGACATTCGCGGTGATGAAGACGCTGCTAAAGGCGTGATGATACTGCCCCTGTTTACCATAAGGCGGGAGTTCCTTGTTACAGCGTGTTCCATCACAACAGAACGAGCAATAGCCCTCGAATTGGTCATCAGGGCTGCTGCAGCCGTCGGGGTTGTTCTCCTCGTAGATGTAGCACGTCTAAAATGAGACAGTTTATAATATCAAGTATGGATATAATATCCAAAAGGATCCAAGATAATATGCTGAATTCCAGGTCTACAGCTAAACCAATCTACACTTGCCCAGTCGGTCTAGACTTCAGTTGGATTCCATTACAATATATTTTCCAGGAGATGGACGATCCCCTCGATACTGGCATAATTGCTGGTTGACACCTTTTTAACCATTACTACAAATTTACGTATAACACTTCGTAAGAAAACGGAATGTTAATTTTGTAATACGTGTGTTAGATACTACTAGATTCATCACTGTGCATTTTGGATGGGTAGCTGGGTGGTTAAAGTGTCCGCTCCTCGCGTTGAACCCGCGGTTCGATTCCCCACATGGGTACAATATGTGAGGCCTGTTTCTGGTGTCCCCCGCCGTGATGTTGCTGGGATAATGCTAAAAGCGGCGTAAAACCATACTCACTCACTTACTCACTGTATTTCTGAAAATGGGAAGATTATAATGAGTATGTTCCAAGATGGCCGCCATTGTGAAGTTATATGTCCTGAGGTTACGTTAGAGAATATACGTTATAGACTTAAAGGGACGCGTTATAGTGAGGGGTAAGTGAGGAGAAAAATAGCAACACATCCTCGACGATCAGGGAATGACATTTCCATGACCTCATCATCAGCCAAGTAATGTTCGAATGACCTACGCTGAAAGTAGTCCTCCACTCAAATTTCCTCACGGCTAATACCAGCTGCCACGGCACCAGTTTCCGATTCAGTTTGTGTATCGTCTCAAACACAAACCCCTCGTTGTATAAACACTTCCTGTTGTATAGTCCGGAAAACATATTTTCGAGATAAAGTTAATTTTCTTCAAACATTCTGAATCTGGTGAGTATTTCCTGGTGAATATTTCCTCGACTCGCTTCAAGGTACACTAATCTCAGAGTCTAGTTCAGAGTGAGTATGGTTTTACGCCGCTTTGACCAGTATTCATATACCAAGGCGAAGGACATAAGACACGGGCTTCATAAATTGTACCCACGTGGGGAATCGAACCCGGATGTTTGGCGCGATGACCATGAGACCACCTGTGCCAATGGGGTTCGTCAGAGTGGCAATCATCTGAAACATCTACCACGTTTTCCTCTTGTGCTGGGGCGGTGGGGTAGCCTAGTGGTTAAAGCGTCCGCTCGTCACGCCGAAGACCCGGGTTCGATTCCCCACATGGGCACAATGTGTGAAGCCCATTTCTGGTGTCCCCCGCCGTGATATTGCTGGAATATTGCTAAAAGCGGCGTAAACTAAACTCAGTCAGTCAGTCCTCATGTGCTGACGAGCTGTGACAAAACTGAACTACTGCTCAAAGGTACGCTCAAACAAACTAACTCACTCACTAATAACTACAGGTTATAACGGTACCTGCATCCGGGCACATCTCTTACTGATCAAGATCCCAGAGTCCGAAAACCACATCTGAGTCAAACATCGGTCCTGGAAATATAAATAAACGGTTAGTTGGTTTCTCGTTTTACGCCGCACTCAGCAATATTCCAGCTACATGGTGGCGGTCTGTAAATAACTGAGTGTGGACCAGACAATCCAGTAATCAACAACATGAGCATCGATCTACGCAGTTAGGATACGATGACATGTGTCAACCAAGTCAGCAAGCCTGACCACCCGATCCCGTTAGTCGCCTCTTACGACAAGCATGAGTTACTGAAGATCAATATTCTAACCCGGACCTTCACGTGACTGTTAACAAGTTTTATGGTGCGTTAAGGAATCTGTTACGTAACGCAGTGTTAATCGTGTGCTTATCATCTCGGATTATTGTGACTCTGGGGCGACCTGGTCGACATGCATATCCCACGGATCCATTGGCTTGAAATCTCTGCCACAGTCTACCAATAGCACTCTCACTCACATTGAAGCAGACAGCAACCTGCCGCTGAGTTTGACCAGATTCCAAAAGGCCTATAGCCTGACCCCTTTCAGTAAGTGTCGAAAAACATCTCATTTTAGCTGCGATTTCAAACAGGTACCTGAACAGTGAACGACAGTGACAAAGCGTCAATGCATGTGTATTGTCCTCCACGTCCATGGAGAGAACGACTTGCACGTGCAAATCATTGACATTACGTGGCAGGTGCATTTCCATATTGGCAATTTGAATAAAATATGTGCCATTTGTAACAAACAGACTGTATCGGACGTTAAAGAACGTGTAATGACATTTCAACGGCCTGATGTGTTTTTCCATACTGTTAAGAAAGTTTGTAAAACATTCAGTTGCATATATACTAAGCAGCAAAAGAAACGTCAAACTGTAAATTCATTCAATGTTTTGATTGTATATTTTTGACAACATCTCCAACTTTACCTGAGCAAAGACATTCCTTCCCAAACTCAGAATGGAACCCAGGAAATGGTCTCAAAAACGCGACCTGATCTCGGAGATTCTACGGTGTTCTTCATGTTTTTCATGCAACTCATGCTGCACGTGCTGTTCACAAGGACCAGCCCTTTAAAATGCACCCCCAAACCCGGTTGAAACATTCACATTACAACGCCAGCAGGATGCCGCGACTCACGACAGCTCAAAGGAACCAGGCGCTAGGAAGACTTGAAGCTGGCCACACTGCACAAGCCGTTGCCAATCACTTCCAGGTCAACGTTCGGACCATCTACAGGATGCAGCAACGTTTCCGGGCCACGAATACCACAAATGATCGCCCCCGTACTGGCAGACCAAAGGTGGCCACAAGGCGACAAGACCCCCATGTTGTGCGACAGCATGTACAGAATCCCTTCATGCAGGCATCCGAAACAGCACGCCAGACAGTGGGAACACACGGAAGACCAATCAGTACTGATACAGTACGCCGACGTCTTAACAGCGGGAACCTCCATTGCCGTAGACCTTACCGTGGACCTATCCTCACCGCTCGTCATCTGCGTGAACGTCTACAGTTTGCCCTACGACACCAAAACTGGCGATACAGGCAATGGAGAACTGTTCTGTTCACCGATGAGAGTCGGTACTGCGTATCAACTGCAGATGGCAGAACACGAAAATGGCGACGACGTGGCCAGCGTTACTCAGACCAATGTGTTATGGAAAGAGACTCATGGGAAGGTGCAAGGATCATGGAATGGGGTGGAATAGGCCTGAACCTGAGAGTAGGTCCTGTGGTGTTCCAGAACCTTGGTCCAGGGAGAGGAGGCGGCATCACAGCTGTGCGCTACATCGACCAAGCCCTCAGACCCCACGTCATACCACATTTCACCAGAACAATATTTTCCAGCATGATAACGTCCGGGCCCATACTGCCAGAGTCACACGGGACTTCCTACAGCAGAACGGTGTCAACATTATGCAGTAGCCAGCCCTTAGTCAAGATTTAAACCCAATTGAACATCTTTGAGATGAAATTCAGAGGAGACTGAATAATGTCATACTAAGGCCGAACACAGCCGATTTATTGCGCCAGGCCATTCTCAGAGTGTGGTTCCAGGTGTCAATGGCCTTCATCAATCGATTGGGGCACTCCATGCAAAGACGCTGTGCTGCAGTTATTGCCGCTTGTGGTGGTCACACTAGATACTGAAGTCAAGAGTCTGAATGGACTGCAAACGTTCACGTAATGTCTTGGAATTGGGCTGAGGTATTCAATATATTGTACACAAAAACGTTTTTGATCCGATAGCATGACCCTTCATTAATGACGCCGAATATATTTATGACGCATTATAGCTGTATCGATACAGCCTAAAGGAACGTCTTCACGGTAACTTGACATCGTGTAAAGTGGAATGCCCTATCCAGCACTGCCGTAAAACAATATCATCTCTATCCCAGAGTGACTGCCAATAACGATTAACACATTACCTAAAAGCAAACTTACAGTCTGTTTGGGAAACATTAGAATTTGATGCTGATTTCTCCGACACAACGTTGTCGCAGCATCGGCTTCACCGTTGCCGTTTTATACCGATATGGCATGGAAACCAGCAAAATAGTCTCCTTAATGGGCTGGTGATAAGACAAGGTGTAATCTAGTGTCTCAACCCAAAATAGATCTCTTTCCTTTGACCATTATCAATCAATCTTTATTTCCAGTACGTTTTAGCATACAGTAGCAAAGGGTACAATAGAAATAGATATGTCGTAAATAATTTCACTTCTGTAATTGAGAGCATCTGATATTCATTGCATGGTATACTAGTATATACATAGCAAGATGCGTTGTGACTGATTTTGAAATAACATGAGGGTGTGGATTTGTCTATTCGGGGGTTCAAATAGAAATATTTCTTTATGCATTCTTTTATGATATTTGCATACAATGGACAAACAAGCATAAGTATTCATCTTCTATGTTCTGATAAGTACATTAATAGCTTGCAAGCAGGATCAAACTGTCAAACAATACTGTGAAAACTTTCAGTTGAGTTGCCTGTCAAGTTGTTTCATATATATTTAAATTGACGACCACTTTAAATTCATTTTGTAAACGTAGTTCAAATATATAGTGTAAGGCATCATGTTTGCACCCATGTTTGAAATATGAGACTTGCTAGGTATCCAAATTGACACAATACGTCAACCCAGAAATATCTATGCCACAGAATTTTATCTGAAACCAACAAAAAAGCAAGCATCTTATGAAATAAACAATTATTGGTAGTGATGAGAGACACCCACCCCCCTCCCATTGTTTCCCCGCGAAGATCCGGGTGCACTATGCTGAAATGACAAGGTAAAATGGGATCGAGAAAACGGACCCCCTCGAGAAAACGGCCACGACCGAGGAGGGAGGGGGAAGGGGTTGGGGAACCATTATTTGGCATGGGTATATTTACAAATAAAAGAATTTTCCCAACTACTTAAGGTAGCACTCTCCCAATATTATTTATCTGATTAGCCAGCGTTCGAACATTGAGGATTTGACAATGACCCATTTAAAATTATCTTTTGATGCCTACGGCCTAAATATCTTTCTAGTCAGTTTACCACGTTACCTTGTATACTATGTACTTTTAGTTTACACAATCCTCTGTACCCTAGACGGACACACCACAAAATATCTTACAGTAATCTTCCTGTTTATCTGAAGCATAACAAGCATTCGTTGATGGACAGTGGAATGTCCAAACCGTGTTTGAAAGTCCCAAAATTCCAAGCTAGACAGCCGGACTGTTAACTTTAAAAGAATTACCAGTCCGGATACAAACTTGCCTGTCCGGTTTTCAACAATACAAAACAAACAAAATCAGGTTAGTCAGGCTACCGTCAGGCGCGTAGCAAGCCATTTTGTTCGTGTAAGCCCGATAGTGTGCAAAGTTTCATTCATATTTAGATAGTATTGAGGGTTTGCCTAACTTTTTAGCAACAATCATGTGTAATCCCGGACTTGTTTTATAATGGTAGCTACGCCCCTGACTGTTTGCAGGTATCCCAATGAACAACATAGCACTAACAGGCAATGCACCGAGTTTAGGTAAACTGAAAGTACACGTGTTGTGATTGGTTATCGTAACATAAACTGTCCAATCGTATGTAGTTTAACATAATCATCATGATACCGTAAACACCTCAAACTGACGACACGAGAACCTGTCTGACATTATGAAATATTTACTGTTAGGGGTAAAAATATCTACCAGATCATCGGACAGGCTACTTTTGAAATTTGACCTTCCGAGATAAAAATAGACCATTCTGGACTGTCGGGCAGAGGGAAAGTTTAACGCTGCCAGATAGCAGATATCAGGACACCTAGACAGAAAAGTTTGTGAGACATTCCTCAACGCTGAATTACATCATGGCGCCTTGTCGTTG